TTCTCGCTGTGCCAGTGACAGGGACAGAGCTGCAATAGAGGTACAGAAACAGAGGGCACAGTTCCAAACCACCCTGGCAGGAGAAGATTGACCCTCCTGGGAAGCTCAGCCACCTCAGTGTGATGACTAAAGAGTCAGGGTGCAGAGGCACCTCGTGCCAGTACCTCAGGCAGGCACCGGCCAGAGATCTGAACCCTTCCCAGGGGAGGCATTGCCACCTCAGCCTCCAGACACAGGGCAGGAGTTTTGGAAGCCCTGTTGTCATGTGCCAGCTGAGCAGTCAGTCTCTGCCCCAGAATTCTGCCAGATATCACCCCTTGGATCAGCCCTGGTGTGCCTGTTGGGCCCCACATCCTGCTGTGCAGTCAGCAATGGTACAAGATGATCAGACACCCACCCCCAGCAAATGGAACAACACCGTTATGTGAAAAGTTTTTTCTTAGGTTGGGAGTTTTTCCCCTCTTTCTCACTCTCTTAAGACAGTTCTCATCCTGTTTTCCATGCACTGACATCCAGCCATCACTCTTGCAGTGGTGCTCCAGCTTGGCACCTTTTAAAGACCCATCAGGGCTTGCTCTCTTCTCAGCTCTGTAATGAACCTACTTTTAATCGTGGTTGTCTGTCCTCACCCACACACCTGGTGAGCTGCAGCACTGTCTCACACTCCTAATTTCTGTTCCTTGGCACTGGGTACTTTGTTCTTTAGCAAATGAGCACCGAGTACCTGAAGCCAATGCAAATGTGTGCTGCACTCAACTCTGTCTTCTGGGCTTGAGTGGAAGCAATCCAAGGCTTGTTTTCTTCAGGTCTTTCTTCAGTTCCAAAGTCCTCTTGTTACTGCAGCTCTTCTTTGCCTCTTATCCTGCTTAAGCTAAATAAGGGAGGGAGGTATTATGTGCATTTAGTGAAGGTATAACTCACTTATAACAAAAAGAGGTACATGAGTGTAATAGATTTATTGTTCAAATCAGAGTAATAAAATCTGTATGTATATGTATAAATATAAGCAGTTAAGGTGATGAGCTTCATTATTACACATACACAAAATAATAGGCTATTATTTTAATTGGTTATTAAACAGTGGATACTCATTAAAAGCTCAGTTCATTGGGAAAAAGAAAAAAAACTACAATGCAATTAAACTGTACTGCAGACTAATTAATATGGGAATTGGGGCGATTCTGGTACCTTTAAAGAGATGGAGGTGGGGACAGTCAGCAGCACAGACTTGTACCACTCATCTTCATTAGGTGAGCAGATGGATTTTTCTCCTACTTCAGGGTTTTGATGAAGTTCTATTTTTTTGTTTTAGTTTCAAAGGGAATGGGGGTGGAGGAGGAAACTGGAGTCTTCACACAGTCTGGAAAAACACTCCTAAAAACAAACAAAAAAAGTGAAGAGGTTCATACATAGGCCCCATAACAGTCATCCCTCACTTTGTTTCTGTACAGACCCACTGTTAGCACTCTGCATCTTTCCTTTAAACAAATAAATTTCGGATGCCCCAAGACTTAACAACAGAATTCTCAGCCTGCTTAGCTCCTCAGCCATGCAGCATCTTTTCCCTCTGGAAGATCCCTGTTAGTTTGTTCTCACCAAAGGCTGCTGTGTCATGAGCCATCCTTACAAACTGTCCAATGTCTTGTGAGTCAGAAGACATTTGCTGGTTATAAACCAGACTTTCATGGAAAGTATTTTTCTTTCTTTCTCCTAACTGACATGAAAGAAGGATGCCAAATCTCTAAGGAAACACCACTGAAGAAGCCTGCTAGACTCTTGCTTTTTGTTTGTATTTTTAAGCACTCAATCCAACAGATAACCTGCCTAGAAGCAGGATGTCTCAGGAGTCAAGATGGTGAAAACTTGCCCCTCATTTTTGATAGCACAAGCATCATGTAAACAGTTAAGTAGCAGAGGGCTCTCTTGCAGAGATTTGCTAAGAATAGTTGTTTACATCCAAACCCAGGATGGGCTTCAGGCTAAAAGCCAACCTAAAGCTTGAGGGTGTTGGTGGTGTTTTGAGCCTTTTCCCTGGAAGTGTAGGTTTGTGGTGGGAACTCCACAAACCTGCCAACTCTGACTTCTGCCCTGTGGAGGTCAGTCTTTCATTACATAAACACAACTTTACTACTGAAACCAAAACCAAAGCACAGGTCTAAGAGGTTTTTAGCATCTGATGCTTGACTGATCTAAGGTTTTGGAAGTCCAATTGGCTGTTTCTATTGCTTTACACCTGCACACATTTACACAGCTGGTGCATTTACACCAAAGCACAGGACTGTGGATCAGCTCAGCTTCATTCACCAGTATTTTCCCCCCACTTTGTAGAACTGGAGTTGGCTCTGCAGGATGACACACACACTGATCTGACATTGGATTGCTGTGCTCTGTAGCTGTGGTGTGATGCAGAACCCTTTTCACAGGTACTCATTCAAGAGGCATGTCACTGGCCTCGCACAGTGGGCTTCTTTCGAGCTCACCCTTGCATTTTATTGTTATTTCTTTGTTAATAAATAAATAAAATCCCTGTTGGTTCATGGCTGTAAGAGATGAAAGAATTCTTTTTTTCCATGTCAACGCTGTGCAGTGCTGACAGAGCCTGGCAAGAGCCACATCCTGGCTCAGACTTCTGCTCTGTTTTCCTTATTAGCATTTTGCTTGGCTGTCCCTGCCAAAGTCTCCTGGACATCTCTGAACTCTGTGAATTGTTGCAAATATTGCAATGCCCAAGTGTGAAATGAGCTGCATGGAAACTCCTGGGAACCTGTTACCAGTGTATTAACCATAACCTCAGGTTCACAGGAAACAACAGGCACCTGTTCAATGGCAAACATGTTCTTAAACTGACACTCAATTATCGCTGCATATTTTAGCATAATTCTTGCACCTTATCTAGGACCTGCCATGAGCCTCTTTATTAATTTTAAAGCAGTCTACACAAACCAAGACAAAACTGAGAATATGAAGGACTGGAGTACGCAAATACCTCAGCATTTTAACAGAATCCCAGAAAACCTTCTGTTGAATGTTGCAATTATGGTTTAGTTGAATGTGAATGGAGATAATTTATATAAGCCAGGTGCTTGATCTTAATAAGTACCTCTAAGGTATCAGAATCATCTAAGAAAGATTTGCTTTAAAAAAAAAACAAAACCAAAACAAACACAAAAAAACCCCACAAAAAACAATATCTCAAAATAACAAAATTAGGCTGAATAAAGAAAATGATAAATAGTGCACCAGAAACCTTTCTTTTAACCATGGAATACCTTAAATGTTTAATAATTATAGCCAATATATTTAGACTGAGAACTTAAACTTATTGTCTAAAACAATTTAAAAAGTATTACATGTTTTCAACCATTACCTGCATTTTAAATAAATCTCTATTATCAATAGCCTACTATAAAATTAAAAGACATCTATATTCATTTAGTAGCCCAGGAATGAGGGTAGCCCTAAAAAACAAAATATCTACAATAAAGGGGCTCTGAAGGGACATCTTTTCAAACTGATATTTTCAGAGCTCATTTATACTTCCTGCAATTCCTCCAGCCTGATCCAAACTCTCTCTGAATAATGGTTAATGATTAATGTGCTATTAACCACGGTCTTACTCCTGAATATTTAACTGCTTTGACAGTAGGATGGTGTATTTGCATTTTATGTTAATACCAGACAAATTTAACTTCTCAATTGAATGTGGAAGCCTCAGAGTGACAGGTCTTTCCAGCCACAAACAGCTGTGCTTAATCTGAAATCCTTCATCCTTCGGGACTGGGACACAGAATTATTGCCAGGAATAAGCATTCCTAAGGATGGGGAGGGGACAGAGATAATTTGCCGAGACTGAGTGAATAATATTGAATCCTTGATAGCTGAATTATTGTCTCTTATTTGCTACATAGAATAATCTGTGTCTAAAAATATTTTCTACTTTTAGAGATTGCAGAGGTAGGCACCCACACACCATATATTAATGTATATACACCATATATGTGTGGCTTCTTTCCAAATAAGCTTCTAAGAAACAAGCAGAAAAGCCAGATAATGGATCCAGGTAATTTACAGGATCCAGGTAATAGGCAGGTTAAAATATAAATATACATTATTCTTTATCATGTCCCAAAATAATATAGAAAATAACATCTGAGCTATTACTCAGGATGTTTTGTCCTACTCCAGCAGAAAATTTTACCATTGTATTAGCAATGCAAAAAAGGCTGGAACTGCACTTAAATAAAATCTTTCTTCCATCACAGCCAGGGACAGTTCCATCACAGGAACAGTTTTCATCAGAGAGGTCTTATGGCTACCAAGCTTTGGGATAGTCTGGAAGAGCTCCCTGCTGATGTCAGGCCTTAGGGATTGCATGGACAGACACACAGAAACAGTTTTAGGGACACGATTTTCATCTTTTAAGAGATGTAAGGGACTGTATTCCAGAGTGCAATCATTCTCACAGCAACGTGTCATTTGGAACCTACAGGCTAAAAAAAAAAAATTTGATCTCTAGAGTTACATTCATAAGGAACTTTTATTCTGTTGGGCACGGGAAAGATCTAGAAACACATATGAAGACTGCACAGTTCTGATACATTCCTTTTTAATTTTTCTTCCTCTAAACTTCTTAGACTTCCCTTCTCCCTCTGAAAGAGATGCTCTGACAACTCTTCCCTACTTTCTTGTTAGCATTTCAGATCCATGTTCACTCCTGAACCTGCATTCAGGCAAGTCACACTGACACCAACATCAGGTTTTTAAGGAGAAAAATGTGTCCATTTTACTGCTAATTACCATTAGCTGCCATTGTTTCCTGTATTAAATAACTTGTATTATCATCCCTGCATGCCTGATCTCTTACCTCCATTACTCATCCTCTGGTAACTCCTATCTCCACCTCATTTCTGGGTTATGCCTTTGATGGACCAAGTGATTATTTTTCAGCCAATGATCCAATTTACGAATAAAGTAAAATATCCCTCAAATCACTCACGTTTGCCTCCATTTCAAGTAGCTTAATCTGTCACTTCTGAATGGTGTTTTCTAATGGAGCATCTCATTTTCTCCTTTTCTCTCCCTTCTTTGCAGTCACACCAGTTGTAACCTAACGATGAACAAGATAAATTGATTAACTGGATGAGTTCTGCATGAAACAGTTCCAACTGGAAAAACATTTAATGGTGGTTAAATATTCTACAGTTGTATACACCACCTGAAAAATGAGTATGACTAATACAGCAGTCAGAGCCCTTTGAAAATGCCTTTCTGGGTAGAATTGGGCAGGTTTACTGACATGTATTTTGTCATGCCAGCTCTAATTAAGCCTGTCTAATTACTTCTCTTACAAGGGTTTCAGGCTGAGCACATAAATTCTTGGGGACATTATCTGCTGTAGGTGTATAAATGTCCTGCAGAATAATAGGGAGGAGAGGTCTGGAGGGAAAGTTAACACTTTTCATTAGACTATCTGACATAACTGGGAGAACAGACAAGATTTTGGACACAGAGGATTTCTGCTGAACATCAAGAAAGAGTGATTTCACTGTATGTCCAAAAGAATGTCCATTTTTTTCCTTATCTCTCTCAGCTGGTCAGATAAAAGTATTAAAGACCTTTCCTGCCTCATACCCTTCTAACTCTGAAACCATTGACACGTATAAAACATATCCAGTGGAGAAAAGTAGCTCTCAGATGAGCAGACTTCTCTTTGGTTGGGTCTGTTTGCAGCAAACCAAAAAGGAACTAAAGGAAATGAAATGGCTTCTGCTCACGTGTCATCTCACCCTGGGAAACCTTTTCTGCAGAGTGGAACAGCTCCAGCCAGCAATGGCACGCCCAAAATTGCCATAAATTGGTGATGAGGGCACACTGCTGTGGGATGCCAGATATTGGGTGTTAGGTGCTTATAAAGGCCCAGGGAAAGAAAGAAATGCAGTGTTTATTTTCTCCCTTTGAAGGACCCTCTCCTGCATCCACTGGGTGTCTTATGCTCTTTGATCTATAGGTAGGTATGAGGACACCTGCAATTCAGCTCTTGCTCAGCCTTGCCTTAAAAAAAGGTTTAAAAACCCATCAAAACTGAGCTGAACAAACAAAAACCAGCCCAAACCAAGAACTGAGAGTGCTTGAGGTGAAAGAGGTGGTGACTGTAGACCAGCAGTTGAGAAGCATCTGTCCTTATTGCCCTGAAACTATGGCATCACTTTCCATGAATCTGCACAAGATCATGGAGAATTATCCTCTCTGAACTCTGCTCTTAAGTGCAAGTGGTATTGAGTTTGAGCTACGAACTATCAAGAAGCAGGTTATTATTTTTACTTGCTGTCGCTCAAGGAAATGGTGCCACCACAGTTCCCTGTGCATCTCACCAAGTCTAGAATTTTGATTTGCATTTATTTGATCAATTGAAGAGGCCAACGAGGGTTAAAAGTGCAGTACTTAATGGAAGAAATACGGGGAGGAGGAAACAGGGCCCAGAAATTAATTCCACTTTGCAAATTCATGTGCTAATTTAAATTGGGGGAAAAAAAGCCATAAACTTATTCTCCAGGGTTCAATTGGGAACAAGGTTGGGCTGCAGGTAGAATTTAATTACCACATGGCTTTAAATGGTTATTGCTTGAAAAGGCTGGTGCCAGAATCACAGTTAGTTCCTACTTTATACAAAAAAAAACCCCTGACATCATGTCCCAAAAATACCTCAAGAGCACAAAACTCCCTCACTAAAATCCTCACACAAAGGCTTACACTGCTGTCTGTAAAGTGCACACATTTAGTAGCAAAAGGCTTTTATTGTACACAGTTACCATATTTTAGTCTGTGTCATTACTTGCATGTTGCCATTGTAGCTGTTTTACCGTGGCCTTGGCTCTTCTAATTTAAATACCTCTGTTAGAATTTAATTTGTCAGGGAAAAAAAAACCCCGAGAATATTTGCAAAATACACGATGTTCTGATCAAACCGATAAGAAAGCCTGAGCCTTCCAAGTTTAATCATATTCAGCATTTTTCTGCTTTTGTTTTAAGTGTAGAAACATAATGAAATAATTCCATACCATAAAGCTCGATGAAAGGGGCAATTAAAAAGGAATTGATCTGATACATCCTGTTCCTCACATTACCGTGCTCTGGAAAGTGTAAATCACTCTCTCCATTGCTACAGCTTTTGTTTCCCATCTTGATTAGGCAAATATTGAAAACAATAATCATTTTTCACCAAAGTGAGCCTTTAATATGGAGTAGAAAGGGAGCACTATGGATATTACATTTTCCACAGAAGACTGGCTTTCACATTAGTGTTTGCTATTAGCACATTTCATGTCTCTCCATCATAGTGTCTTTCACTCAAATCCTACATTTGTTGGAGCAGATGGAAAGTTAGTTTAAATTAATTGAAAGCATGCTGTGCACAGCTTGTGGCACCAAGAACACACAAAGAAGAAAGGAAGATATCAATTTCCTTTCTAACATACCTATAACTGGGAGAAGAGATCTCTTAAGAAATCATCAAGATATTATGTTGCTTTTTGCTCTCCTTTTTTTTTTTTTTAAGAAAGCTATGTTACTTTGATTTTTACAAGAGGAGGATGCAGTGGAATTGGGTGGATATTCATCATTCGAAAAATAAATTCTGCCTGGGATGGTTCCTAATACAATGATGCAGAGAAAGTTGGTTTGTTTCTGTAGCCTATTCTTAGAAATACTGACAAGTTTGAAGGTTAATTACCTCTTCACTTACTTTAGTTAACACCACCTTCCTGTATCTGGATCCTCAGCTTTTCTTCTGTCTTCACTGAAAATCCAGTGGCCTCCTCTGTTCTCTGAGCCAACAGGCAAAGATGTTATTATTTCCAGAATCACCTAAATGCCTGAAAATCGGATGGACAAACTCATCTGCTTCTTTACAGTGATCAGTACTGGGCCATTCTTCAGTATCTTCACAATTAAAACCAGCTTCAAATCTGCCACAGAACAGATCATGTCATGAACAGAGACTCTTTGACCAAGCAATAAGTGTTGGAAAGTGTTATCAAATGATTAATTTGATCCTTTAAAAAAAATAAATATTCCAAGTATTTGTATATAGTGGTGTGGAATTGAGGGTGGGAGGGAGCAGGTGTTGGGAAGGGAGATGCTGGGTCTGGATCTGTTTGGTTGGTGTGCTCTGCTGTGCTGAAAGGCTGAGCAGGCAGGAGGAAGGTTTGTGCTCACATCCGTGTGGCCCAGGCCAAGGTGAGACCCCCTGGCACGAACAGGAGTTGTTACATCTTGTAAAGCAACCGAAAGTGCAGAAATCAATGAGGAAAAGCAGGTCCTGGGTTACAAGGTGGGAAAAACAGGCCGAAAACAATCAGCCTGCAACAGAAGCCTGGTGGGTTTGCTGGGGAGCAGATGCAGAGTCAAGCTTTAGAGGTGAGGGGGAAGAAACGGTTCTCCAGAGGGACTGAGGGCTGGAACTTGCTGCAAACAAGGAACACACTGAAACTCGCTGGACTGAGAAAGACCTCAAGGGTCCTGCATGAAAATGGGGAGAGCTCTGCCATTTTGATCTGTCTTGCTGAGTTTCCTCTGTTTCAAATGTTGCTCTGTTCCAGTTTGCATTCAGATAAAAGCTGACTTTTGGGTTTTAGAACCCTCTCGCTCACCTTGGTGTCTCTTTCTCACACAGCTCATCTCTTTGGTGTCTCAACTCGAGACACGCTTTGCTTTTCTTCTCCAAAAAGGTCAAAAGGTAAGAAGAAGGTGGGAAAACATTTTTTTCAATTTGCTCTTTCAGTCTTTCGGTCTTGAACTACTCCAAGGCTGACAGGGAACAAAACTAAACCAATATGTTTTAGTTCTAGAAAAGTAAAAAGTTTTGCTGTAAAAACTCAAAGAAACTGAATACAACCCACATTTTTTTCCCAAATGAATAAAGTTATTTTATACCGAGGCATTTGTGCCCTCTCCATTCTGACTGTAAGTATTGAACCTCTACTGTTGGAGCCTTTTTTCTGCCAGTCACTGAACACATTTTACCATCTCTACTCCTTGCAAATCAAACCCAACTCCAGCAACTGCAAATGAAAAAGATAAAATAGTACAACCCTTTCCCAATCTTACCTGTCTGGCTTCAACTTCCTTCTTTCCAGAGAGCCTTCAGACACTGCAGCTGAGCCTGTCTTCCTTTTTTCATGACCTGATGACATCACTTATCCCCCAAGTTTACTTCTTTTATTAGATAGCCCCAAAATTCAATTATACTCTTCTAAGACTTTACAAAATTTTTGCAGCATTTATTTTTTTCTTCCACAGCTATCTCGATGTCTCCTTGCTTTTTCCAAAACTTTTTATTTAAATTCTTTCCTTATCATTTTTAGGCACTCTCAATTTTATCCTTTAAACCATGGTGCCTGCGGAATTTTCACTTTTTTTCTATATTGTACAGGTTCTTTATGGGCACCTGAGCCAGCATTTTCCTCTGTTCTTAAAAAACTTTATCCCAGCCTGTATCACAAGTCTTTCCTGCTTAATTCAGGGCAAAATTATGCTCCTTCCTGCCTGCCAAACTCCTTGACTCATAACCAAAATGCAGCAGCAGAATGCAAGGGAAAATTTGGCTCTGAGTTCATAACTTCCCTTGAGCACATGACAGGTGTGTTAGTTCATATTAACAGAGCTCTTTGGAAATTCAGAGGGTTGTACAGGTAATCACTGTTTGATTAATAATTTACAACACCAACAGGACAGAAATGAAAACCAGAGAATGACAATCTCAGAGCAGCTGTGTGCCTGTCAAATATGGTAATTTTTTACCCTTCTTCCTCTGTTTGGGCACTGCTTAACCCCATGCTGAGTTGCCTTTCTAGAACACAACCCCTACAACACTGGTGAATAATTAGATAGTCAGAAAGAAACAGGGAATGGGCGAGAATTAACTTCCCACCTCCCAGGGTCACTTGAAGATTAATTTACCTAAAAACTAATTAGGACATACCACAAGCACAGAACCCTGAAAGAAATGAAGAAGAAAGGGAAAAGAAAAAAGAACCCAGTTAAACCAGAATCTTCCATCTCTGAATCTATAGACAAGCAATCTTAGTTCTTCTGGGAAAAGCTACCAGATGAAATCCCCAAAGTCTATTTTTTACTAAGGAGTAAATGAAACCATGATGCAGCTGGAATGAAATCCTTCAGCCCTTTCACTGACACCTGCAAGAAAAGTAAATGTTATTACATGAAACTCCTTTTTGAAGATAAAAGTCCAATCTAGTTTTAAGATTAGAGGGTTTAGATGGCTGTGGGCACGTGGAGCCCTTTCACTGAGTTTGCCACTTTGTGCCAGTTTAATAGCAGCCAAGCCATTAGTTAGTGGGGGTTATTAAGGAGAATAAGTGAAGTCAGCAGCTGTATCACAGAGCCAATGACATAATTAACACCTTGGTTTGGAGGTGATTCTTTCCCCATCAGGAGGAGAAAATTAGGCAATAGGGAGATTCCCTGCATGGAAGGATTTATTCCTACGGCTGTGAACCTGTGCTGGGCACAAAGGCCAGATTTGCTGAAAGTTGAAAAGAGAAGAGGATGAGTAGAATCCAAAATACTAATTAGAGCAGTAAGAGTTTTATGGCTGGCTGAGTTTTTAATAGGTATTAGAGGGTAAGCCAAGACTAGCAGTCTGAGATAGACTCTAGCTAAGTGAAGGTGAACGATCGTGGCGTTTCTCAGACCTCACCCAGGATGCTCAGTGGGGAGCAGAAGACTGAGGAACTGATTTCTACTGCAGGAGCCACTTCTAGAAAGAAGCAAAAACACAGGGATATGCAAAAAGTCAACATTTCAGTGAACTCTTCTGAATCAGCGTAATAAAGTTATACCAAACATTGTAAAGCAGGCCAATAAACTGTGTAAAAATATTATGATGATGTTGAGTATTAATTGGGAATTTTTTAATATTTTTTTTTAGACAGAAGAAAAGTAAAGTACATTTTCCTACTAAAGTTTTTGAATATAAGTTCATCTTGTCAGTTTTTTATATAAGAAAACCCCTGTAATATCACTCCAGTATGGAGACAAATAATGAATTTCAACTATCACAAAAAGCGAAATACAGTCTTTCCTTGAGAAGTTAAAGAAGATAGGAAATCTAGAGATTCCCTATGCACAGTGTTTCTCTTATGGTTTAAAATTTTTTTCTCCTAATTTCTCTGTGTTTAAAGAGCAGTCAGTTCCTGTTCTCTCTTTCCTTAGCAAAAGTACCTTTTTTTACCTGCTGTGCTTTCCCCCCACTTAATTATTTCTACATGGTAACTGAATTTGCTGAGTGTCATCTTTACGTGCTATTTACCATCTTTATTTCTCTCCAGTTCTTAAAAATCATTTTAGGGTCTCTTTTTTTTGTCATCTCTAAACTTACCATAAATCTGAAGAAACAATAAAGACACCGGAACTAAAACATGGTTTTTGATAATAATCTCAGCAGTGCCGAATTCCAGAGAGAATCCAGTTCCATCCAAGGCAGAATTCCCCACTTTTAATTTTACAGCTAAAATATGCAGCTCTGGAAAGATGACTTTATTTTGGTTGAGTGCAGCCAAGCCCCCAAATTCAACCAAATTGAGAGTGTGTGACCAGAGCAAAAGAGAGGATGGGGAAGAGAGAATGTGTGAGAGGACAAGCTCGGGATGAGCACTTTACATGTTTGCCATTGATTTTATTTGCCTCTGGAGCTATTAGGGGAACATATAATGTGTTTAGTTGCCTTTTGGTGAGATATCAACAGCTGGAAACACAGGGAGTGAAAAACCACCTACAGCCAGTTGGCACTTGGCAGTTCCAGTGGTCCACGGAGGGAAATTTTGGAAGCTCTGTTCTATAACTCTCTATTGCTGTTATCTATTAACTCCACAGCCATCTGAGGGCTTTTCAGCAGAGAAGAAGCTACTGATGCAATTCAACATTAACTGTAGCAACTATAGTAAGGTGAATGAGCAAATTTTATAAATGCTGCTGCCTTATCCAGAGAGATCAGAGGTTTCAAGTCTTGTCAAATTTTGTGGTTGCCAGGGTAACAGGTTTGCAATTCTAATGGTCCCTGAGAGCCTGGGAGGTTGTACAATACACAATCATCTTCCACTACCTCCCTAAACCATGTAGTTCTGGACACACATAACTGGTTTCAATCAAATACGGCAAGAATTTTCATGTCAAATGTCCCTGTGTAAAGTTAAGAACAAATGTTCAATTAAACTGCGTGTTTAGTCCTTCTCTTTTGATACCAGCCCTGCACAAATGATTTGCCCTTCTGTTTGTTGGAAAAATGCCAGAAGTTATAATATGAATCCCCTCCATGTGTGGGGCTCAAGCTTTGCCTGCACATTATGGAACTGACTCTATCCCATCTCCACGAAATGCAGCACAAACATCTAAGGGTAGGTGCAATTAGCAATTTTAAATTGGCTTTCTTAAAAAAGAAGAGAGCAACATAAAAGAGGAAAGACATCTGTGAAACTGCCACGAGTGAAACACAAGCGAGACTACAAAATCATGAAAAATATATTTATCTACTCCTTTGAGGGCAGTTACCTTCCTGTTTTTCCTCAGATAAAAATGACACCAATTTGCTATCCATGAGGTTGTTACAATTGAACAAGCTTGAAAAATCGTGAGCAGAGAGAAACTTCTCCCTTTTCACAGATAAAATTTTTTCCCCTCTCTCTTTCTCTTGTTCTCTTTTATTTTCTTCTTTTTTTTTTTTTTTTTACTCCTAAAGAAATTCAGAGAATCTAAAACACTTCCAGAAAATGGAATTCTGGAATGGGAATGTGCTACCTGGTCCAGTGGCAGCCAGATCAGCCTGTACCTGAGCATTAATGTCCAGTCACAGCTGCCACTTGTCAGGACACCACAGCTTCAGGTGACCACACCATCACTGGTGGTAAAATGGCATCATGGAAAGATAAATAAAGGACTTACCATAACAAAATGAATGTTACAAACTGCTCCTACGTGTAATTGAATTTCTGGGAGCACAAAACACTTCTGAGGACTCGAACAGATATTCTCCAGCCATTTTCTCTCTTTGAGCCTCTTATACTTCCTGTAAACAGGTAGCTGAGGGTTACAAAGTTCATCATAAACAAAGGGTCATATTTTGAAAAAAAAGTCACCTCTTGCCCATTTGTGTTTTGTTTCTGTCATCTCTAAAAAGAACAAATAATAAACAGGGAATGGCTCTCAGAGCAATGGGCACTTCGGATTGTTGGTGTAAATTAAATTTCATCTTCAAGCAGAAAAGTAAAGGGTATAAAACATGAAAAGCTACGAATCACCTTTAGCCATTTGGAGTGAAAAAGTAACAACAGGTGATTGAGCAGCCACTCAAAATAGCCTGGAACTGTAACAGCTCACTCACAAATGACCTGCAAATCAAAACTTACCAGTAAAGAATTACAGCTAATATTTTGAGTATTTAAAGTATATAACCAGGCTAAAATCTGTCTCCAGATCTGCCACCTGTAACTTATGTATTCAACATCATTCTAGTTTCATTATTAAATAGTTCCTCCTTTCTTTAAAAAAAAAAAAAAAGACTCAAACAAGTCACGTGCAGAGGGAGGGAGAGGAGAAGTGAAGTTATTTAATACATTATTCACTAGAAATTACTCTAACAGCTTTATATTCAGCCTCGTGCTATCATTGCTTGAGGCAGAGATAACCTTCACCAAGTGTTTCCAAATTAGGTGTCACGTAATACCCTGGCAGATATTGTCAATCCAGCCCTGTACAGCACATGCAAATGGGGACGGTGCCGTGCTCCACGAGGCACTGTGTAAAAATCCAACAGAAGGAAACAAGGCTGGAGCACTTATCTTGCAGGAACAGAGACGAATCTTTGGGGGAATTAGCTCAGGCCGTTGCTGTCAGGCTGCTCTGCTGCCGAGTTACATCCGTAACAATAATTCATTTTTTAATGGCTGGAGACCTGCAGCTGTAATTCCGCACTAAAGTCTATCCTAAAATTTATTGAGGAAGTTTCAGTGTGTCGGGGCTGCGTTTCTAGATGGGATCTAATCTTCATTAACTCTCAGGAGGTAGAGCTGCAGGAGACCATTTGTGCCCAGCTCTGGGAGCACTGAGAACTCACCACACTCAACACTTGCCTTGGCTGGGGTCCTGATCCTGCCACGGGGGTTGGTGTGGGACCAGACAACTG